TGAAGTTACAACTCATAACAGTATCATCTGGAATAAAAAGACATGGGCCTTTAAAAGGTGTCTGAATGAAAAGATGGGAGTGCATCCTAGGTTGAGCAGTTGTATCAGGCAAAAGAAGCAAGAGCAAATAAAACCCTATTAAATGTTGAACCTTGCCTTTCAGTGCCCTGAAAAAAGATATTAAGTAACACTGTTTAAATATAGTATTGTTTTGAGGGACTGTATTAATAGCTGCATTGCTTTCAGCTTTCAGAGTCAAGATGAGCATGGATTTGAAATTTTCTGTATATGTTAGTACTCCTCGGAATGAGAACTCTAGAGCTAAGGCCAAAAAAATTGCTTTATTCAAACTGACATGAAAACTTGGCTTTTCTGTTCTGGAGAACAGTGGCAAAGGGTCACATTCTCTCAAATTTTTGTTTAACAGAATTCCATCTTCTAGTAATTTCAGCAGTCTCCTTGGATTATTAAGTTTACTACGTTCATGCATGCCACAGAAGCATCAAACATCCTTGGAGAAGTCTCCATAAGATTTTATCACAAGTCCAAGTTCCTGAATACTGAAAACTCTGGAGCAATATAAAATGTGATGTTTACAAATTCTCATTTAAATTCACAAGAAATGCAAATCAATTTCACAAGTTGTTCTATAAAGAATGCAGGTCATTAAGATCTTAAAACCAGAGTAAAGCAACCATAACAGAAAGCTCTACTCTACAGCAACAGTGGTTCTCAAAGTAGCTCCAAGTGATTTAACAAAAAAAAGTCAATGAATCAACAAGTTACCCTGTGAAGGCAGAGCTATTAGAGATTCTCAAGCAAATCCTCAATCACTCTAAATCACACTAAAACTTCAAGTGGCAATATATAAAATGAAACAAAATATTTAGCATAGAAGAGAATTGGAATACATCTAGAAATACATCTTCTATGGAGATCCCTGATTTCTATATTTTAATTCAAGCTATTCCAAGATAAATCCTTTCAGAGGCTAAATCAGTACTCTCAAAGACTTAACGTGTATCAAAGTTGATGAACTCCTTCCTGCCTCACTGAACCAGGAAACATTGAACTGCTTCACAAGAAACATGAGAAGCACCCCCAGTTGGCCACCGGATTTCAATCTGCAGTCCACATTCTTAAATCTCATACATCAAGATGAGAGCAACGCAATTTTAAAGCACAAACATCTTTTCTTCTTCCCAGCATTGAACTCCTTCATTAAAAAGCTCTGATAGTGGTACTAAAGAAACAACACTAGTCAATAAAAGCACCCAGCAAAGTATGCAGGAAATTGTAGTTTGTACATCAGGATAAAAGTCCTAGATGTTTAAAATTTTAAGCATAGTAATTGCCTTGACCTGCACCTTAAACACAGGTTTATTCAAACCCACACACCGAATATCTGTTACAAAAGCCTCTTGCAAATTAGGTTGCCTTTCCTTCTGAAGATTATAAGTTTTCAGTAGAGTCCCCTAAAAAAACAAGCAATTGCTTAGCACCTGTCCTGCACCTATTACACAAAATCTGCCAAAAGGCTGCAATATATTTTTTATGTCCTACACATAAAAGATTATGATTCCTAGCTAGCTATCTTTCCTTGGAATTATTGAAGTACAAATTACTGTAGAGATTATTTTTGCTCTTCTCAACATGCTCTTATTTCTCATTTATAAATAACTATTAATTACCTACTAGTTTTAAATAAACATGTATATTAAAGAAGTATATACAGTGAGATATATATAGAGAGAGTTTTATATATATATATATTACCTATATATTAATTTCTAAGGAAGAAGATAATTCTTTTCTAAAGGTCAGGAACAAACTAGTAAATAATAAACATTTCTTTCCCTTTCCTCTGACATAGTTCCTCTGAGGCCATAGGTTGCCTTTTAAAAAGTAGAAAGTACAAAGGTATATATTTACTAATATGGTTTTTGTCTGAGAATATTACTGATGAAAATCATTTCAGAAAAACCAGTTTCTGCCAAAGCAAAGGTTAAAAATAGCTAGAAAATACTATACAGATGGTTAAACAGATCTAACACACTGCTGTGCAGAGACACAGCTTAGTCTACCTCTAGGACACTGCTCTTCTCAATAGACATTATTTTTGGATACAAGTAGAAGAACAAGAATTGTGGGGGTGAAGAGGAACGAGATCCATTTTTCCAACCCTTTCTGTGTCTTTTTATAACACTACGTTGAGCTCTGCTGCAGGTTTTGAAACTGAAGGTTTCACTCTGCATACACAATTTGAACAAAGAGCAAGACAAAACGATGGCAGCAGCCTCCTACTCTGAACACCTCCTCACTCTGTCAAGAAGTGAACGATAAATTAAAGAAAAACAACACCTAAATTCTAAACAGTAACAAATCCTCAATATAATTTTTTCTTTCTTTCTTTTCTCCTTCTTGTTGAAGGCTCCCAGTCACCCAAGGGACTGAAGAACTTAAGTCTTCTTATTCCTCCAAACCTTGTAAAAACAGCTTTGGTACTGAAACCACAACTTCTCAGCTAGAACAAAGTGCTCAGAATAAGGGGAAAAAAAATGCTCTCTATCCCATTCTGTCTCCCATTTTAAAAGTTACTCCTCTTTAGCAAATGAGTTTGAATATTATGTTACCTGGCAATAGGTAGGTCCTGTTTCTGAGGAGTTTAAAATTATTTCCTATTTGTTTTCTGGAACTATGGGATTTGCTGATGCATATTTCTTCTATATGATTGAGAATCCACATAAAAATAATGCCTTTTCAATGCCCCCCTAAAAAATGAAGCTTGGTCTTAATGCAAGTGAAGCATACAAGGCACAGCTGTGATGGGCATTTGGCCATTTCATGAAGATTACCACTGATTCTGTAAAGAAAGGGAATTTAGGGCACTATTTTGTGAGCAGGTGGAAAACAAACAATGCATTTAGTCAAAATCTCAGCAAGTTAGAAATTACAGTAAGCAAAATATTAAATTTTTAATAAAGACTGATATAAAATACTAAATCAAAAGGAAAAAAAACACATCATGTGTTTTGCTTCTGAGATCAGTGTCCGTGAACTTCAGAGTACCAGATGCTCAGCTTCTTCTCAACACCTCATGACAAGATGATGAATTTTTGATCACAATTTTTGTTTGTTTAGTTTTGCTGTAGTCTTTTGATCAAGATTTCACGCTGTCCTCCCCCATTCCTAAAAGTTTTAGGCTGAGAAAAACAGGCTGAACTCAGATACAAAGCATACTGCATTTGAGAAGTTTGGGAAAGCAAATCATGTTAGTCAATACTGTACAGGTTACACAGTTCCATAAAAGCATCCTCTCTTTTCCAAAGCCTGATGACTGGCAAGGTACCTTAATCAGGATTTCTTCAGGAATAAGGAGATGAGAACAACAATCTTCTCAAAAAGTAACAGGCAAAATTCACTTTGTTTTTACAAAGTTTTATGACTTGTGCAAACACAGAGTTTCATAAATCCAAGTCAAAGAATTCAAGCTGAACTAGAGCATGGAAAGTTAGTTTTGGATTAGGTTTTTTAAGGATTATTACAGAACAGCTGCATTTTCTCTGAAGGGCCTTGACAACGGTTCTAAAGCATGCTAATCATTGCTGTAGTGCAAAAAAATTATGAAAACATCTTATGAAAAAGTAAGGACTAACACTGTGGCTTCAAGGCTTCTAATGCTTTTATAAATGTAGACTTGACAGTTGAAAAAATATGTTTTTATACTAATTAATTACCTTTGGACCTGACTAAATCAGACTTTCTACAGTCTGAGACAGCACCACTCATTACTGCACACAAGACTGGCATTAAATGCAAAACCTCTACAGCAAGGAAGTAAATTTATCATGGGATTACCAGAATGGAAAAAGTGCTTTGAATTATTTATTTTCAACTAACCAGTCAAAGAGAAGAAGTTCAATGAGGTAAAATCAAATAAGTGACCTCATGATTTATGTATAAAGAATACCATTTCCTATCATAATTTATGGCATACTGCACTGCAAGAATAATTTTTAAAAAAAGTTTATCAATGACCGAAAGAGAACAAAGTGAGAGAAACCTTGGTTCATCTAATCCCTCAAAGTAGAATTAGAGAGAAAAAAAATAGTAAAAATATTGGTTCCATGATCAAGAAAAAATAAATAAAGTTCACAGAGAGAATCATCTTTTTTCTAACATGAACACAATACAGGTTTTATAGTGATGGTAATCACAACTGGAAATACCTTTATATTTGCTGACCACCAAAGAGCTTCTGTTTGGCAATTAAAATAGCAGATTAAAAAAACAACCCAATACACAGATTGAGTCTAAGTTGTAACTGCACTTTTAACACCAGAGCCTTGCTCACAATTACACCTAATATCCTTCCTCTACTTTTGTACTTGGATAACAGGATGACATGAAGACTAAAACCTAAAACAAACCTAGTAACAATTGCAGTGAACTCCAGAGGCTGAACGATCTGTCTGTAGCACGCATACAGGCATCCTTGGATTCACCTGTTCAACAGCCGAGAACCAAAGCAGCACCGGCCGCCACGAATTAAAACTTAAGCGGAGCGGGGCGGAGGTCGAGGAGTCGAGGCCGGAGCGGGGTCCTTCGGCCGCAGTAGCTGGGGCACGGACAGGTCTGCGGCTCGGCTCGGCCCGGCTCACCGCACGCCACCGGGCATCCTCCCCTCCACTGCAGCCGCATTATCTGAGACCCAGCAAAGCATCCGACAGCATCAGTGCGCCTCCAGAGCAGGACCCGGGCTACATCCCGCAAGCGAGCACCCACAGGCTCGGGTGTAGCGCGCACACAAACGCACCTGGCAGCCCCGGGGCGATCCTGCGGGGAAACCGCGGCGAGACCCGGCTGCCCCCTCCCTGTGCGCCCGCAGAGCGAGCGGCTCCGAGGGGCCTCCCGCCGTGGGCACGGCGGGGGTCGGACTGCCCCTTT